AACTGTCAGAAAACAACCCCTTAAAATTTCAACTTTCTAGCTTCCCTGGCACCTGAGTTAGCAACTAACTGGAAAAAAATTTTCACGCGGCCGTGTGTGTCTACCACGCGTACCTGAGAGTTGGGTTTGAGCTGAATGAAACTTATGTGGACGAAGGTATATCCTCTTAAAATTACAGTCCTCTAGCTTCTCAGATCCCCGAGTTATAAAATTACCCCAGACAAACTTTGGCGGGCTCGTACGCGGACACCACGCTTACCGGGAGGCTGGGTTTGAGCTCACTAATACCCACTTGGACGGGGAAAATTACCCTAAGATTTCAGCTTTGTAGCTTCTCAGATCCCCGAGTTATGAACTTACCCGAGACAAACTTTGGGGGGCTCGTACGCGGATATCAAACTTACCCGGGGAGCTGGGTTTGAGCTCATCTATATTACGTACTTGGACACGAAACATTACCATAAGATTTCAGCTTTGTATAGATCCCCGAGTTATGAACTTACCCGAAGAAACTTTGGCGGGCCCGTACGTGCATGTAGATTAAGTTCCCAAAGTTTCAGCCCTGTAGCTTTTGTAGGTGTTGAGATGAAAAACCGTGACAGACGCACACACGGATACACAGACACACACAGACAACCCCTCGTCAATATGCGTTTTCTGCATTGCATAGCTGCAAAAAACGCATAAAACACTAAATAATGAGTCATAAATATGCACAAATGAAGGAAAGAAAAAGTAAAATTCTAAACTGAAATACACTTTGGCGACATAAATCGAACACTTGGAACTCAACTGATAAGAAAATAATCACCTCATCCGAAGTACAGGGTATCTGTGATAGGGATGTATGGCTCTCGGTGGCTGCATCGCTACTGCAAGCTGGAAATTCTTGCTGTGAAAACGAACGACCTAATTCAGCACTGATGCGATGCGCGCCTAACGGCAACCTGTAAAACAGATCCGGTTTACCCGCTTTACCGAAAGTTGCCCGTAAGAGAAGCATCGGTAGAGATCGAGCTTTTTTTTCGGGTCACATTAGCAGCTATAAGAAGATGACTCACGACGAAATCCCCATATCTACAGCGTTGTTGATCATCAGTTACTGATTTATGATCAAATTAACTGTGCTCCAAGCAAACAGCTAAACTTCTTATTTTAACATCAAACTCAAAAGCACAACGTTCACGTAACTTAATAATACAAGTATCAATCCCAGAGCCCAAAATACTCCAAAGAATATTGCACTCGTCGGCCCCCGACGATCGCCAACAATCTTCCTATCCCCGCTGAATCCACCTTTTAACTTCGTAGTCCTCTTCCAGTAACCTCCTTACTCCAGCGCCCCTTCTTTTGGAATGACTACTTTTTCTACCCCAGAAGTTCATAGTCCTCACTCCTTGTGATCCCCTTTTACATATTTTTTATATACACACAATTGTTATATTTTGTTCTTGTGTTTCTTATGATTTAATAACCCAAATTTAAGGTTACTTATGAAAGTTGTATTATTACTGTGTGCGCGCATGATAGCAGCCTCTGCTGCATAGAAGAGATTGATATTTGAAGAAGAAGAAGGAAAGCTGATTATTACCCGCCCAGGCCTGGTCTCATCAATTCGGTATATATTCTCTGGCGGCCTCTGAAGGGTCCAGCGCATTACTATTCTATTTGAAAACTCGAAATTCTGTATCTGCGGGAAGCTGCTATAAAACATTTATTCTAGAACAAATTTTATCTGTCACTTTTCGTATTTTCAAACGACAAGCGTGATGTGCCATATTTTCGTGTTACACCGAGGTCTCAGTACTGATATAGTCTAATCGAATACGTCTCAATGAATGCTTCTCTTTTTATTGCTATATGGTTCCCTCTTTTTTTTGCTGATTGAACGGGCATATTACAGAGAATATTTTTTTTGCATTTCTGCCAATAATTTGATAGTACCACCTATTGTGCCCAACTGCATGAGTTTAGAATCATAAAAGACATTGCTTTTAGCAAATAATGGAACCAGAAACGAAGAAGAGCAAACCAGAAAACTACATACTGCACACGTAAGTCCATACATAAGTAATCTTTTTCCAGCACTATTAAGTGATCAACGATCTGA